TGCCAACATTTGGTTATTTGCCATAATTTCCAGTATGTCTAGAGTCCAGTTGTGAGTTGTTCGATGCATCCTCTACTTTGTGTGCCCATCTAACGCAGCTCCGAGACGGCAGCAAGGATCTCTGCGTCAGACCGTGGCTGCTGGGGCTGGTAAAACCCACAACTGGCAGGAAGCTCAAGAAGCTGTTGACTTACAAATCACTGCTTTGTATCTTCTGCAAACGTATTTGGAAAAAGCAACAGTCCTAGCAAAAATGCCAAAAAACCTTTTCCCAGTACACAGATACCGTTTTGCTGTAGTTTTATCTATCTTTGTAATGTCTGCAACCTAAACTTCAAAGCTCTAAATTAGCAAAAAGAGGGAGAGGCAGGTCTCCTGTGAGGCATGTATTTTAAAAAGTGTTTGTATTTAAAACATAAGGTGCTTCTACACTTAATGTAAAATTTCATAGGCAGGAGGTGACCAACTATTAACCATGTTACAACTATTTAAAATGATCCCAGTAGATGACTCTACAACCTCAAACTTTCCTAAAGCGCGGTCGCTGTGGTACGGTGTTTATTTTGCACAAACTGAACCTCATTAGACAGCAGACTGCTGGCTTTCTGCAGAAGTTATGCTCATCTGCATAAAGGTCCGATGACCTCCATCAGACAGCTCTTGAGGGGTCACGGGCAGCCGTGCCGAACAGTAGGACACAACGGAGAATTCTTAGTTCCGCCACATCGCACAAACCTCTCAACCCACGTGCATCCCCGTTCATGGCAAAAATGAGATGGCGCTGCCCAGCTATGGCTTTGTGAGGCTTATTTCACGGACGCTCGTGAAGCCCTTTGAGACCCTCGGGTGGGGGACCCCACGGAAATGCAATCTCATTGACTGGAAGAGAAGCTGGGAAGAGCATCTGAACCTGCCTCAAAAGGGGAAGACTTTGTATGCAGGCTACCTTTCATTCTTCGGGGAGATATTTTAGAGTTGCCGTTCTACAGCACAAGAGAGCGCTGAAAAGCATTTTAGACTGGCTTGAATTTCACCTAGGATCACAATGTTTTCTTTTTCCACTGTCTCTGATGAATTTGATCTGACATTATATGCTGATAACTGATTTGAAACAGCTATATCTGGAA